CAATTGCGTAACAAGGAGTTTCTAAAATACCTGTATGAAAATAGCCCCCCAACATTGAAAAACATAAAGTTTCTATAACTCATTCGATTGCTCATCGTTTGCACATGTATGCACATTTCGAATTTTCGTTTGCACACTTCTAGTAAAAAAGTTATTAACAAAACAAATTTCGGGGGGCCATCTTCACACTAGCCCCCCCAACTATGAGTAAATTAAATAAAAAATAGCTCAATTGATAGATATTCGTTTGCACATTGCCAAACAGATCGATTTTTCGTTTGCACACCTCTAGTTAAAAAGTTATTAACTTAAAATTAATTAAAGTTTCAGAAACGAGCGAGTTAGAATTTTTTCAGTTATTACAAGATATAACGTTCAGGTACAGATATTAAAGATGAGCGAGAACATACAACAGATTTATGAGAAATAAACAAGAACCGAATATGAATGAAAACGCCACAACTTTTCGATTGATATCATTTTAAGCACAATATTTTTGTTTTCACCTCATCTATCAAACTCGCTCATTTCTGAAACTTTAATTGTTAATAACTTTTTAACTAGAGGTGTGCAAACGAAAATTTGAAATGTGCATACATGTGCAAACGATGAGCAATCGAATGAGCTATAGAAACTTTATGTTTTTCAATGTTGGGGGGCTATCTTCACACAGGTCATATAAGAGATAAGGAAAGTTTTTTAGATACAATATTTGAAAAAACTGTGTTATTCTCTTGATATATAACTTGCATAGTTGTAGATATATAATGTGCAATAGTGCATTCGTGAGATTCGATTCCGTCAAATTCATTCAACATAGCCAGCAACTTATACATACATTTCCATTCCTATTTTTCGCAATATGTATACTCTTGACATAATTTTTACGATTCGATTTCCGTTATTGTGGCTTTGCAGTTTATATCCAGCTTTTATTCGTGTTATTATCTCATATTATTTACACATTGCGTTAAAACAATGCGTAAACAAAAATGCTTTTACAAAATTTTCATAAGAAAATTTTATAGAAAATTTTATTTTTTGACTGAAGATAGAATTGTATATGCACGTAATATCAAATTCACATTTTAGAGAATGATATTATAAAACTGAATCACAGCATATTCACTTTAGGTATTCTCTATATAATTGTATCATTAAATTGAAAGGGAATTGTACGACGATATGAATAGATAAAACTTTTTTTATTTAACACAGTAAGATCATTAACAAAATTTTACAAAACTAATCTGCTATTGAATTTTAATATATTGCTATTGCTTGCTATTTAATTTAAATATCCTTATGTTCGATAATTTTTCTAGGTTTTGATGAATAATTTAAACATACATGTACACATATTGCTAGTTTATGAATAGCGATGAATCAGATGAGGCAATGCCAATTCTGAACAATATTGTAATATACATTTACACTTTCAATTGTATGTGACAAACTCCGATGGCATCGGCTAACCCATGCCTCGGAATTGCTACGTGGATCGATAAAACGTATGCATATATCCTCAATTACTGGAGTAGGAAGCCACTTCGGAACCAGTTCGTGTCATAGTAATGCCTATCGGTTCTTTTCAGCGACTTTTAATGAATTCGTTACGTGTCTCGATCATAAATCGTTTAACTTCCTGTTACACGCGTGACATTAAAATTATAATATCGTTAAATGCCAACTTTAAATCGAATTATCCAATTTTAAAATAAAATACAATTGCATAATATAAATTATGAGAGGTAGAATATTTTCTCTTCTAATAATAATATTTAAAGATTTATCACTTAATATATACTTTCTGAATTAAGAAAGATATAAAAACTATTCTTTGATTATTGGAAACGCCATCAACGTACTGCTCCGTTTCGTAAGCGTATTCCTCGCGCTGATATTAGCGTACGCGATGCATAGAAAATTCGATTACTGGCTCCGTAGCACGTAAGCGTATAACCATAAAAATTTAAAGAGCCTTATACTTTGGTGCAAATAACGCTATTCTGCAGCAACGACGATCGCGCTCTGCTTCGATTTCGCTCGTCGCATCATCATCGCGTCTTTACATCGCTCGTTTACATAACCACGTGTACCTTCAACTCTATATATGTACGTATGCTTATGCAAATGATACCGTGTCAGAGCCATGCGACAAGTTAAGTATCAGACGATGGGCTCGTTTCTTGTATGAGCTCTTTATAAGCGCTCTTTCTTTCGTCTTTAGTGATTTGGTACTTTAAGTAGTTACGCTAAAGATTAAACAATATCTACGTTATTTCAGTTAAATTTGGTTCGACATAATTTAAAGAAAATTTAGAGGCAAAATTAAAATTAAAATAAAATTAAAATATTCATGAAACAATTGATTGAA